ACTGTCTGCTAGAAGACTAAGCCTTGGGGACCATCCTGTTTTCTTTTCTTTCTCTCTGAAATCTTCAAGAGGAGGCCAAACCCACATGGGCTCTTCGCAGTGCCTTGGCAGGGCATCAGGCGTCCGGGCCGCGGGGAGGGTGGGTGCAGCAGGTGCGGTGGCTGCTTGGGGGAGTGTCTCTGGTCCTTCCAAACGGTCTGCTGTTGCCATGGTGTGATTGATGAGATTTTCCTCTAAAATGTGAGAACACTGGCTCCTGGATGTCCTGTGAGGGAAGAAGCAGTGGCTGCAGCCTTTCTAATAAGCAACATCTGTCCAGATTGCCATCTTGTTATGACAAAGATGCAAGAGGTGGGAGACAGAAGAGCATGGATTTTGCTTTGTTTTAATGAAGGAAACAAGGCTAATCCACAAAACAAGGCTGTGTAGGTCTATGGGAATGTCAATTATTAAAGTGTCAAAAACACTGTCATCTTCTGAGGGGTCTCGGTGTGATTCATACACACAGCTGCTAGGATCCCAGGCTGGTGACCTCCCCTGAGCTGCCACTTCCTCACTCTAGGGAAAAAGTGGGGGCCACTCATTACAGCACCCTGGAGGGATATTGTACCACACTCTGTGCAAGGGGCCCCCTTGGAACTCGATGCCTGGTCTGGAATAAATAATGTGCTCTCCGAATGCCAGCAGTGGTTACCAGGAACCTTGTGACAGAGAGGGGTCTAAAAGTAACTTGAACCATATTTGGAAGGCATGTTTGTGACTGCAGGCTGGCATGGCTGGGCTTGATCTCAGGGGAGTGACAGGTCCTGAGTCCAGGGCAGCCAGTGGCTACCTAGCAGGAGGACCTGAGGAGTCTGTGGTAGTTCATGGAACAAAGCGTGACACTGGATGATCTGGTTCACATGAAGCCTTTGTTTTGTCATCAGTAAAGCAGATGATACCCGCATCAAGAGTGGGTGGTACACTGAATGGTGTATGTAGCCCATCGGTGCAATGTGTAACGCATGTGTGGCTGTTCTCATTATTTTCTCATTGCTGAGATACAGTACCCGATGCCCACAATTCTAAGGAGGAAAGGTTTAGGTTGGCTCAGTTTGTAGAGGTTTTAGTCCGTAGTCTGCTGGCTCCAAAGCAGGGCAGCATGGCAGAGGGGCAGGGCAGAGGGAAGCAGTGAGGGGTCAAGGGAGAACGGTAGAAGATAGACCCTTCCAGGCCACACCTCGGGTGACCCCCTCTCCAGCCAGGCTTCACCTCCCAACATCACATTTAACTATGAGCTCCTTAGTGCACTGGGCCCTTGATGAGTATCAAGCCCCATGATCAATCACCTTCCAAAGCCCCACCTGTGGTCACACGAGGCTTCGAAGCATCCAGATACAAACCACTGCAGGGGTGAACGGTGTGTGCGCAGTGTGGTATGTATGTGCAGCACATGTGTGAGGTGTATGTTGCATGTAGTGCAAATATGGTATGTGTGTATGTGGGATGTGTGGTGACTGTGACCTGTGCAGCTCTCATCACCACAACAGTAAATGCACTTGGGCAAAGGTGTTGGTGAAGGCCAGTGTGGTTTGCTGTTATACACGCATGACTTACCATGTGCTGGGAGGATCCTTCCTGGGAGCTGAGATCTCATCTGTGGAGGCAGGCGTGTGTGACACATGTCTGTGAAAGGATGAAAAGGGCCACCACTGTTCCCGGGCTCCAGGCATCGGAGATGAGCTGTGAGCACTGTGGAGGCAGAGCAGGGCAGCCAGGCTTTGCTGAGCGGGCCATGCCTGGCGTGGTCTCAAGAACTGTGGTGTTCCACTTTGGTTTGTCTATCTTCTAAATGAACATTTTTTGGGGACAAAACTTCTTGTGCTTCACGTATTTTAAGTTGACGTCTAAAATGTTTCATTCTAAGTTTAAGTAGCCATAAAGGATCTATTTCTGCCATGGTTTGAAGGTTGACATGTTAGAATAACATGCCATGCTCAGAAATGTATTAAATGGAAACCAAGTAACATAGAACTTCTTTTTTTTTTTTTTTTTGGTTTTTCTCCGGTACCGGGAACTGAACTCACGACCTTGCGCTTGCCAGGCAGGCGCTTTTGCCGCTGAGCTAAATCCCCAGCCCCAACATAGAACTTCTTATTTTGTCTTTTTATGGAAGTATCACATGAATATAGAAGACTATACACATTTCAAGTGTGCAGCTCCACTAATTTTTGTCAGTATCCTACCATGCAGAGCACAGTGCGGGGCATCTCCAGCCCCCAGAAGACACCTCTCCCCTCAGCTCACTCCCCCGACATGGCTGCTTCTCCACCTTTGCCACAATAAACCACTTTTCATGTTCTCATTTGTTCTGGCTCTATGTAGAAGAAGTCCATTCTTTTTTATTAGTGTAGACTTCCACTAAAAACATCTCATGCTTAAATCCCTTCTACGCTTACTGGGCATTTGGAGTTGTTTCTAATATTTGTCTAAGAGTTCTTATTCTTGTATGTATTTGGTGCAACACAAATACTGATTTCTTTGGGGTACATATCCGTGAGTGGGTTTGCCAGGATATGGTATAAATACAACACAGCAGTAACCTAACTTCCATCAAAACTACCCAAAGAAAAAATTAGCACAGTTTTTTTTCTTTTCTTGAAGTCATAATTCTCTTCAAATTCCTTCACAGAATTTTTATCTTAGCATATATTTACACCTAAAATGTTTTTGCTATTATCATACTTTTTTTTACCCAAAATATACATGTAAATTGAAATGGACATTTTGAAATTGCCCTTTGATAACACAATTCTAAGTTTGCCGTTTGATTTATTATCACAATGATCACTAATACATACTTAATCAGAATAACATAATATTTTATACATTTGACAAACTGTTAAGCATAAAAAAGCAAGATTGTGGATATGTTAGCTCTTCACTGCTGTGACCAAATACCTCAGGGTATCAGCTGAGAGGAGAAAAGCTTTACTCTGGCTCATAGTCCCACGGGTTTCAGTCCCCGGTCAGCTGGCTCCATCACGTTAGGCCTGTGTTGAGGCAGAACAGTCGTGATGGTGGAAGAAACCTGTTCCTCTCACAGCAGCCAGGAAGCAGAGAGAGCGAGACAGAGAGCAGGAAGCAGAGAGGAGGGGCCCGGGACCAGGTACGGTCCTTAAGATCATGCTTCCTCGATCCACTCCATTTGGCTGGGCCCCACTTCCTGTTTCTGTCACCTTCCAATGAGACCATTAAGTTAGAATCTGCTCAAAGGACTGATCCATTGATGAGTTAGAGCCCTCACGCATGACCCACGCACTTTGCAAAAGCTCATCAGCTGCCAGCCATGCTTTAGCACCTGAGTTCTGGGGCCCATTTCAAACCTAATCCATAGCAGTGTGGGCAACGCTTCTGAGGACAAGGCAGATAGGGTGGCTGATGGCAATGCTTCTCAGATTTTAAGATGGCCTGGGATCTTCTTACAATGCAGATTCTGATTCACAACATCTGGGCTGGAACTTGCAATTCTGTTTCATTTTTCTAGCACTACTGAAGTATAATGGCTGTACAGAAGACCGCACATACTAAATGTATATGTCCTGGTGAATTTGGGTACTTGCATGTTTTTGAGCCCACTGGTGATGGTGATACACTTGTCCACAGACCACACTTTGAATAGCAAGAGTTGATTATGGTCCCTTGCTTCAAGGATGATTTGGTAACACCAGCATTTCAAATTGGCTTTGAAGCTGCTTTGACCTTTTGGAGTGCTGCACTGTAGTCAGATTCTGGGTGAATGAGATGTCAGTCTTTCTCCTGTAGAGCAGAAACAGGACCATAGGAAGAGGGATGGGAAGGAGAGTCGACAGAGGCTTTTCTCCACAGGGCAGGGAGTAGGAACAGATGCTGTGGAGTCAGACTCTCAGTTTGAGTCTTTCAAGACTCTGTGTGCCTTGGAGTGGGTTTAGTCCAGTGTGCAGATCTCTTTCCTGGCGGAGGCTAAAATGATGCTGGCTGCATCTCAGACAGGGTGTACTTTTGGACAAATGTCCAATGACTGGACATTTCAAGATGAGTTTGAAGGGTTTGGAGAATCCATTGAGGGAGAAACGCTTTAAGAAGTTGAGCTTGGGCGGGTTGGTGAACTCCATGCTCAGGAGCTGCACTTCTTGCTCAGGCAGAGGGAGCTCGGGGGTATCTCTGAGCAGCCTGTCTCTGTGAACAGGGTAGGTGTGGAGAGCTTGTGGGTGGCTGGGAAGGAGGTCCTGCATGAGGACTGCAGCAGTGACCACACTACCGACTGGCGCAAAGATTGCCTGTGGTTACTAGAACTCAGCTGTGACATTTAACACTAGCTTTTGTCCTGGGTGTACAGATTTGTTTTGATCATCAGTACTTCCTGAAGTGGGGGCTCATTTTTCTAGTGGTCCTTGAGGTGTTTTCACATGGAACTCGTGGTAACTTGAAGCGGAGCAGACGTGGCCTTGAATAACACTGAAACCTGAGAGGGAGCCATGCGCTCCTGGTCCTGACCACACCTGGAAAGAGTCGTTTTTCACACCTCTTGTGCTGTTCCCAGAGAGCCAGCAGCTTAGGCTTGAGGGCCTCGGGGAGCAGTAGTGTCTAGAGAGGGTTTTACCAAATTGTGTTTATTGAACTCATTTTCTATGTTCCAGGCTGCAAATGCTCCTGGTTTGCCCCTTTATTGTGGGAATATAGACCTCTTCATTTAAGGAAATTCATTGTAGTTAGAAGAGTGAGGCAGTGTATTAAATCATGTGGAAGAAACGACGATTACCTGGTGGTGTGTGGGTATGGCAAAATCTGTGGTGGCAACATACATAGGGTTAGATTGAGTGCCACATCTTGTGCCAGTGCTATGCCAATCAAGGGCTCCTGAGGCTCTGGGTGGTGGTGAGGCTGTGGGGAGGGGGATGCTTTGACTGCAGAGCCTGGGTCAGCATTGCTGAGTCACCCTAACAGCAGCCTGACATGGTGTTCCTTGCTTCCTTCCACAGAGATCCGCACGCAGCTGGTGGAGCAGTTCAAATGCCTGGAGCAGCAGTCCGAGTCGCGGCTGCAGCTGCTTCAGGACCTTCAGGAGTTCTTCCGCAGGAAAGCTGAGATTGAACTCGAATACTCCCGCAGCCTGGAGAAGCTGGCTGAGCGGTTCTCCTCCAAAATCCGCAGCTCTCGGGAGCACCAATTCAAGTGAGAAGCGGGCCAAGGTTCAGAGGAGGGGGCAGGCAGCTGGTGGCGAGGCATGCAGGTGGCAGGGAGGATCCTTTATGGCACTGGGTCTGCAGGGGACTTGTACCCGAGCCTCAGCTGTCTGTATGTCCAAAGTGAAGATAGAAGTAGCACCTACCAGAAGACTGCTGTTCAGAATGAAAGAGAACCTAGAAACGTGCTTGGCACAGACAGAAAATGCCTGATGTGGTTGGCATTATTATTAGTATGCTACCAAGCAGTTGGCTAGCACCACTGGTACCCAGAAGAGACCTCTTTCGGACATCCTGAGCCTGTCTTGTTATGTCTTGTCTGGGCACCACCTGCCCACTTCAAGTTCCTATAGCACAATGACCTTCAGACTTCACCTGCATGGAATGAGTCCTCAAAGTTTTGTTTTTTTCTCAATCCCTTAGAGGACCGAGGTGCCCAGATTCTTGCCAGCCTTATTGCCAGCTTATTGTCTTATTCGGAATGTACAAGCCTCCCCACCCCAGTTCCTTGCACCCAACCTCTGAATGCACAGAGGCTCTGTCCACCAGGTAGGCTCTGCATCCCCAGCCATGAGCCACAGTGCTGGCTGAGCTGTCCCTGGAGCCAGCTGCATCTTGGGCTGTCCCCAGCTGTGGAGCTGGGCTGTGCAGCGGGTTTGGATCTCATCTCCTGCCCTGCTCCTTCCTTTTGGTTTGGAATCAGTTCCTTTATCATTTGAAGTGTGATGCTGGGGAGAAGCAGGACTAGGGGACATGGGAGGAGGTCCCTACCCCCTTGCATCACCTATAATGAGCTCGGCCAGCCCCTTATGGGTTCATTAACCGAGCCACCAGACGGAACAGGAGCCCCAGCTGGCAGTCGGGCCAAGCTTGATGCTTGTCACGCTATGAAACTCTAATTAGGATGTGGCCAGGCCAGTGCAGCTGGGGCGGGCTCTGTTCGAGATGCTAATGTGGCGATGGATCCCCCAGTGGCTAAGGAAGCGGAGTCTCTAGGGAAGGCTGAACTCAACCTTGACCCCAGGGCACTGACTGACCCCAGCTACCTCTTCTTTGGAGTTCACTGCACAGGGTTATGCTGGGCTTGTGCCTTCATCCTGGCTGTCCCGGAAGTCCTGCGCCATCTTGTAGAGTTCTGAGTTCCACACGAGAGTGTCAGTCTACCTTCAGGGCAGGGCCTAGGTCTTGTTCTTATTGTAATGGACCCAGCTCATCCAATGGAGGGGAGATGTTTGTGAATAACAGGGAAGAGGAAAGGAAGGAGTGGGTAGAGGAAAGAAGGAAAGGGTAAGAGAGAGAGGAGATAAGGAGAGAGGGAAGAAAAGGACAAAGGAAGAAAAGGAAGGAAGGTATTGTGGTGTAGATCTAAAGTGGTGCTCAAAAGTCTCACGTGTCCAGTGGTGGGCCTTTAGAAGGAGCTTGGATCATGAGGCCTTGACTGTGTCAGTGGATTAATCCACTGAAGCGATCATAATTTGCTGGCATTACTGGGAGGTGATGGTAGCAGAAGATGGGGCCTAGTTGAAGGAAGGAGGTCACTGGAAACACGCCTTTGAAGGATTTATTTTGCTCCTGACCTCTCCTGTCTCTCGGTCTCTGTCTTCCCCCTTCCTCCACCATGCCTTCCTGCCATGATGTTTCTGTCTCACCAAGGCCTAAAAGCCATGGAGCTGGCCAATCATGGCCTGAAACCTCTGAAACCAGGAGCCAAAATACATCTTTCCTTCTTTAAGTTGTTTCTGTCCGTGTTTGATCACAGTGATGAAAAGCTGACTGATACAAAATGGAAAGAGGAGAAAGGAAAAAGGAGAGAAAGAGGAAGGAAGAAGGCAAGGGAGAGAATTTACTTGGTGTCTACAGTCCATTCTGGCTGAGAGATATGGTTGAGAGAAGGAATTGGTTTGCCCAGGATCTGATAGCAAATTAGTGTCAAAACTAGGGTAAGAACTGAGGTCCCCTCACTCAAGTCCAGGGCACTGTTCTTGGCTCTGTGGTCCACATATCTATCTCTAAGGCCCCAGATGCTCCCTACCCACCTGCAGCTGCCAGGGGGGTACTATTTTGGGGGTGGCCTCACCCAGCTGAGTTGCCTGTGGCACGTGATTCAAAGAAAGACTTTAGTGATGGCACTGGGGGGTCTCCCTGAGGCAGGTGGAACATTTAGAGAACAATATCATCACACATTTCTTTTGTAACAGCACATACTTCCACTTGAACAATGCCTTTTCAAAGAACTGTGGCATCTTTGCTTTCTCATAATCTTGACAATAACCTAGAGAGGCAGAGAGGGAGCCAGTCGTTCAATCCCAAGCACACTGGCCACCAAGAAAGCGGAATGACTTCTTTTACCAAGGATGTACAGTGAATTGTAGGGCTTGAGAAATCAGACAGGGGTCCTGACTTCCATTTTGTCTTCTCCAAGAGGCCACATAGTCCTTCATTTATTTCAAATATGTTCACCAAGGACCCATTGCTTTCTGGGCCTGTGATTAGTGATAAAGATACAAAAATAACAGAGACCAAAATGTGGCTTGGAGATGCTTGTAACTGGTGCGGTTGGAGCAGGCTCCCAACCTCTGTGGCTACACCCTTTGAACCCTCAGCTCTTAACATTTAGATGTTACTTGCTCTATAAACCTCCCTTGATTCTGACCTGGTGCCTTCCCTTGCCTGCTCCTAACTCTGATATATTTGCTTATTTACTTACTCAGTCAGTGTTTATTGAGCATGTACCACACACCAGGCCCTGTGTCTATAGAGATAAACAGCATAGGCTTGGTTCCTGCCCTGATGGAATTTACCATCTAGTCTAGTGATTCCATTTGTGGTTTTAAAAGGCTGCACAAGGCTGAAGACTGAACCCAAGGGGTGGGTGTGGCTCTCTAAGCAAAAGCTAAGGATGGCCTAGGGGGCAGAGAAGACAGCACAAAGGAAACAGAGGCAGGGAAATCTTTCAGGATGGAACAGAGGAAAGGAGAGGAGTCAAAGATGCCCCCTTTGCTGACTTGAGATGGAAAGGACTTGGAGAGGTTGAAGCAGAGCTACCACCTTGTGTTGTCACTGCCCATTTGCTTCTCTGTAACCCTTTGGACCAGCACTAGGCAGCAAGCTGCAACATGGCAGACAGGCTGATGAGCTGGGGCTTCTAACACTTAGCACAAGACTGGCACATGGTTAGCCCTATATGTTTGTTGAATGAATAAGTGAAAGTCAAGTTATAATTAGAGCTGTTGGAAGGGGAAATGTATCTTCTGGCTGCCTTAGGACTTGGGTGAGGCCCAAATGTCATCACTCTAGTATCTGGCACCTGATGTCATGTTGTTCCCTGGTAGTTGTCCCTGGTGGTGGACACGGTAGTTGTCTCCTTGTCTGGACAGTGGGGCCAGCAGTGAGCCAGAGTGCTGGTTTAGAGGGTGTGTTCATGTGGGGGCTTGTTCCAAGTACAGAATCCAGGCCTCTCTCCAGGCCAGGATGCTTGGGGTGGGGCCCAGCAAGCTGCGTTTTAACAAATCCGATTGGAGATCCTGGGGCTCCTTTTCTTTACTTTTAAAACCATTTAAATTTTCATCAGTTCATATGAGCTGTACAGAATGGGTTTCAATTTGGTGTTGGGGTACATGCAGGAGGTAATAAACATACAGAAAGAACTGACAAATGGGACTGCATCAAATTAAAAAGTTTATGCACAGCAAAAAAAAAAAAATAAAAAATAAAGAGACAACTGACAGAACAGGGGAAAATCTTTGACAGCTACTCTTCCAACAGAAGATTAATATCCAGAATATATGAAGAACTCAAAAAACTTAATACCCCCAAAACAAATAACCCAGCCAACAAAGGGGGCAAATGAACTGAACAGACACTTCTCGAAGTGCGAAGGGCCCCTCACTCTCAAGAGCTGCCTGGGATTCTGATTCTCTGGATGCTAAGTGGTTTTCAACTTGCTTCTAGGCTACATTGGCCTCCCTTCCTGCCCACCAAGATAAAATCAAGGGCAGGCCCAGCTTGAGCTTGGCTTTTCCTTCAGAAGGCCTGGTGTGTTAGGAGCTCTTCTTGAGCAAGAAGGTGGCAGGGAGGGGACCTGACAGCTGCCCACTGGGTAGGTGGACAGTATGGATGGCCTGGTCCAAACAGTTGGGTGTTCCATGAAGACAGAGGATTGCTGGTGATATAGGACCTCCAAATGATACAGGGGAAATAAACATAGTTCCCAATCTGTTAGATGTCCCATATACGAAGTTTGCATACCCCAAATTCAAAGAATGAATTCTAAGGAACAGCAGAAGTTAAATGTAGGAAAATTTATTGGGGAAAAGGAATGGGGAATAGAAATAGCTCCTGGGAGAGAGGAGGGGTCCTGAATGGGTTGCCAATGAGTCCACTTTTCAAAGGAAGTTTAATAGAGCAAGATCACGTGGTGGGTACAATGTGGGACAAAATTATGATTAACCAATAAGATTGCAAGTCTGGCCCTTTAGTAATGTTGATCCAGTAGGGAAGCAGGTCATGTAGCAAGTGTACATGGATGATACCATTAACTTTGATTGATAATCGATAGTCTTAGTTTTAGTCTGAGTGGGTGGGAGAGGATGGCCCAACCTTAGTGAGATAAAGGCTATTTATATGGGAAATCTTCAAAAGGGTGATACCAATATCTCAAACTACCATGTGTCCCTTGGGGAAGTATGTAAATCTGGCCACTGAGACTTTAATCTTTTCAGATGCACCTCCAGCCACAGTTGTGAAATGTTTTCCTCTTCCCCACTGACTCCCTTGAGGATCAAGCCCCATCTGACTGCCTATGATATTTCTAGCTAATTTATCTGTCTATAATACTGTCACTAAGACATTTTTCTCTTAAAGAGAAATATTTTCTAAAAACATCAATACTATGAGCAGAGGGAGAGAGATGGCAGGATTGGAGGAGGAGAAAGAAGGAAGAAGAGACAGGAAGAAGAGAAGGAGGAAGAAGAGGAAGGAAAAGAAGAG